TTGTTTTTTCATATATCTCATTCGATTTTTCACTTCTATTCAGTGTCATGCATGCCTGATAAATAAAACTACTACTGTCCCCATTTTGTGTAGAAATAATTTAGTACGTAATTTACAGCATCGTGCAGCCATGTCATCCAGGCTGCATACCGACGCTATATTGTGGAACGATACTTGAAGCAGTCCCAAGCTGCATTATGCATCCAGAATGCCTGGAAGGCCTACACCCAAAGACTGGCCTTCCTTAAAGCAAGAAATGCTGCTGTTATCATTCAAGCAGCTTTCAGAAGCTGGAAATGCCGAAGACAGTTTCTTGTGACCAAGCGCGTCATCACTCACATTCAGAGAGAATATCGAAGGAAGTTAATTGTCCGGAGGCTCACCCAGGAGTACAAGCTGAAATATAAGGCCATTGTTTCAGTACAGAGGTGGTGGAGGAATGTTCTCAAGAAAAGAGAACATGAGAGAGAGTTGAGGGAGCACCAAGCAGCAGCAACCATCATAAACTTCTTTAAGATGTGTGTTCAGAGGAGATCCTTTATGGAAAAGTACAAGTCAGTCATTCTTTTGCAGTCACATGTTCGTAGACTACAGTGCCAAAAGAAGTACACCAACACCTTAAAGTCTGTAATGCTTATACAGACCAAGTGGAGAGCTACACTCTTATCCCGTGAAGTGAGGGCACAGTACCTGGAACTACGTGAGGTTGCAATAAAATTGCAAACTCACATTCGCTGCTACTTGGCTCGTAAGGAGTATGCTGCCATTAGATCAGCAGCCATTATGATACAGAAGACTTACAAGATGAAGAAACAGAGAGAGACATACCTTGAATTGCAAAAAGCTGCCTTAATTTTGCAACAGAGGTGGAGAAGTAGAAAACAAATGCAAGAACATCGAAACCAGTACCAGAAAATACGGGAAGCAGCTGTGAAGATTCAGGCTTTCAGTAGAGGCTTCAAAGTTCGTAAGACATTAATAGAGAAGCAGAAAGCAGCAGTATGTCTTCAGGCTAATTATCGCATGTGGAAGGAAAGAGAAAATTACAGAAAGAGAAGGAATGCTGTAATATCATTACAGACACACTTAAGAGCATGGCTGTACATGAGACAAGACCAAGTTTATTATCAGAGTATAAAGACTGCGGCTGTCATTATTCAGGCCAATTGGAGGGGGAAAGTAGTTCGTGAAGAATTCCTGCGTGTAAAGAGATCTGCTGTACTTATTCAGGCATTGTTTAGAGGCTGGAAGGTAAGAAGACAATACAAGAAAGAGGTAAACGCAGCAATCTCTATTCAGAGATGGTATACAGCAACAAAAGCTATGAAGCAAGAAAATGAAAGATATAAGAGGTTAAGGTCCAGTGCAGTTATCATCCAGTCTACCTTCAGAGGATATCAGGAAAGGAAATGTTATGTCAAAACATTGAAATCTATTACAAAGATTCAAGCTGCTGTTCGAGGCTGGTTAAAACACCAACAGTACATGAAGCTGAGAGCTGCTGCTGCAATAATCCAGCAAAGATATCGGGCAAAGAAACAGATGGAAGAGCATCTGAATGCCTATAATGCTATGAGATCTGCTGCTGTCAAGATTCAGTCGCAGGTGAGGATGTACTACTGTAGGAAGCAATATCTTGCTAAATGTAGTGCTGCAGTAGTCATTCAGAAGTATGCAAGAGGTTTTATAGCCTTCAGGAAATACCAGCACCTGAAAAAGAATGTGAAAGTCATTCAGAGATATGCCCATGCATGGCTAGGGGCAAGAAAGGTGCAACAACAATACCAGGAACTAAAGCAGGCCACTGTTTTGCTGCAGGCACATATCAGAGGGTTCCAACTTAGACAAAACTTAAAGAAGAAGAGAACAGCTTGTATTATGGTTCAGAGTATATATCGAATGAAGAGGGAACAGAGGCTTTACCAAAGAAAGAAGGAAGCTGCTATTAAAATCCAAAATGCTTACAGAGCTTACAGACTAGGAAGGGATGTACACTGCCAGTATGTAAACCAAAGGAAAGCAAGTATGAAGATACAGAGTTACTGGAGAATGTATCAAGCAAGAAGATGTTATTCTCAAAAACGTCAAGCTGCAATCACAATACAACAGCACTACAGAGCCTGGAATGTTGGTTGTGAAGCTTACAATGAGTATCAGAGGAGAAAGAAAGCCTGTATTGCCATTCAGGCTTGGATAAGAATGCTAAAAGCCAAGAGGCAGTATGCCATGAAACAGAGAGCTGCCTTGCTTATTCAGCAGCAGTACCGAGCCATTGTTTTGGGCCGAAAGGCACAGAGAGAGTTCCATACCCTGAGGACTGCCACCATTAAAATACAGTCAAAATACAGAATGTACAAGCAACAGACACAGTATCAACAACAAAGATCTGCTGTTTTGGTTCTTCAGAAATACACTCGAGCATATATGGCCATGCGAGCAGACCAAGAAATGTTTGCAGCCAAGAAAAAAGCAGCAGTACTTATCCAGGCGACGGTATGTATCAAAGAGTACAGTGCATGTATACTGTAGGTGTGTATGTTTCAGTGTGTGTATGTATTCATTTTTTGTAGCTGTGATGAAAATGAACTTTTTTAGGTATTACATTTTATCACTGTTCATATAAAAAAAATAACTGCACATTTTTATTGTTGTGTAATCATGTTAATACACTTGGATAGGGTACTCTCAATGATTATTTATTCTTGCAGTTTATGGTAGATTTTGTTTTAACAATAGCCTATATCAGGTATGTTTGGCAATGAAATAAATATATATTAACAAATATTGTGTGCATTTTAAGTTTGCAGTGGAATATGTGAAGACTATTATACTGTGAAAGAAATAAAGGATATAACTTACTAACCCCTAAAAAGCATTGAGTCTTGGATATTTATCTATCTTGCTGAAATCTTCACATTCATATATAATTAAATAGTAGTTACAATGATATTTAATGCACATCACCTTTTACATTTTTTCCAGGTCCGAGGATGGCTCCAACACCGAGATTACAACCTGGAACGTGCTGCCTGTATCAGAATACAAACTTGGTTCCGCTGCCAGCTAGCCCACAAAGCGTACCTGGCCCAGAAGAGGGCATCACTCACAATTCAGCGGTACTATCGTGCATATAGGCTAGGCAAGCAGATTCAAGATGAGTACAAAATAACAAGAAACTCAGTAATTGTCCTGCAAGCTGCCACTAAAGGTTATTTGGTCAGGAAGCACCTCAAAGAGAGACAGAGGGCAGCAACCATCTTGCAAGCAAGGCTCAGGGGAAGGAAGGAATACCTATCATACAAGAGGAAGAAGGCTGCGGCTTTGACCCTTCAGCGGTATTATAGAAACAAAATGTTAGGGGACAGTGTACGGCACCATTTCCTGGAGATGCGAGAGAGCATTGTGTCCATACAAGCTCTGGCAAGAGGTTATCTTGTAAGGAAGGAAATGAAGAGAAGGTCAGATGCTGCTTTGGTCATTCAGGGCTTCTGGAGGATGCACATCCAACAAAAGAAATTTGCAAAACAAAAGGCTGCTGCAGTTATTCTCCAAAAGGCCTATAGAAGTCATTGCTTGACCAAATTGGCTGTGGCAGAGTATAAGAAAACCAAGTCAGCTGTCTGTATACTTCAGGCTAGTGTCAGAGGTTACCTGGCTAGAAAATTGTTAAGAGAACAGGCAAATGCAGCTGTACGTATTCAGTCATGGTTCCGTGGATGTCAGCAGAGGAAGCTGTATGTGCATCAGAGACATGCAGTAATTACAATTCAGGAGCATTACCGTGCATACTTTGTTGGCAAAAGGGTAAGACAAGAATACCTATATGATAAAAAATGTCTTGTTAAATCACAGGCTCTTGTGAGAGGATTCCTTGTGCGACAAGATTTGAAGAAACAACAAGCTGCCGCCACTGTTCTACAGGCATACATTCGAAGACATCTGGTAAGGAAGCAGTACCTGCAACAAGTGGAAGCTGCCACCTTCATTCAAAGATGTTATCGTAGGTATATACTGACACAGGAGATTCAACGGCTGTACAAGACAAAACGCTCTGCTATAATAACCATTCAGTCTGCTGTGCGTGGATTTTTAGTAAGGAAAGACCTAATCAGAAAACATGAAGCTGCCACGAAGATTCAAGCGAGAACCCGGGCATGGCTGGTACGTCGACAGTATGTGAAATATGTGGAAGCAATTAAAACTATACAAGTTCACTGGCGGGCAACGCTATTGATGAAGGAGGAGCGTGAACACTATCATACTGTGCGAGGAGCATTTGTTAGAATTCAGGCCATCTGGAGAGGGAGACTTGTGAGAAAGAAGCTTGATGATCAACATGTTGCAGCAACTGTCATTCAGTCTCATGTTCGTAAGTTCCTAGAGTACAGGAGATATCAGAAGATACAAAATTGCACAGTACAGATACAAAGGTGGTGGCGCAACATTCATCTGAGTTTAACAGTACGCAAAGAGTATATAAGAAAGAAGGAAGCTGCCTTTGTTATCCAGTCAGAAGTGCGAAGATTTTTAAGGAGGAAGAAGGATGAAAGGGAAAATAAGGCTGCCACTATCTTGCAGGGTCAGTACCGAGGTTATGTCCAGAGACAGAAATATCTGAAAGAAAGGCAGAATGTTATAAAGATCCAAAGATGGTGGGTGTTGCAGAGAGAGAAACAGAGAGTACATGGGGAATACATGAGAATTCGAAGGGCAACTCTGATACTGCAAGCAGCATTTAGAGGGATGAAAGTAAGAAGAGCCATTGAAGTGCAAAGGAAGGCACAGGTCAGAATCGCAGCCTCCTTTAGAGGCTGGCGTGTCCGTCAAGAGCATTTCCGGAAGGTCCAGGCTGCAATTATATTGCAGAGATGGTGGAAGGGAGTAAGGCTGGCTAGAGAAGAGAGAGAGAGGTATTGTCTAGTAAGAAATTCAATGATCAGAATTCAAGCTATTGCTCGTGGCATGTTGGTGCGCAGGGCAATCTCCCAAAAGCATCAAGCTTCAACTAAGATTCAGGCAGGTGTGCGAGGCTGGTTGTTACGAAGAAAGTTCCTCAACACTGTTCAAAGCGCTGTAACTATACAGAGGTGGTGGAGGGGTTTAAGGAAAGTGAAAATGGAAGAACAGGAATACCAAGCTAAGAGAAATGCCACAATTACACTCCAGAAGTGCTTCCGTGGACTGGTGGTACGTAGGAGATATATTCGGAAGCGTAAAGCATGTGTGAAGATCCAGACGTATGTCAGGCAATGGTTAGTTCGTAAGAGATACACGAAAATTGTGCAAAGTTCAGTCTTGATACAGAAATGGTGGAGGAGCATTAAGGAAACGAAGGAAGAACAGCAGAGATACCAGATGACCAGAGAAGCCACTGTGACCTTACAGGCGTATTTCAGAGGCATGAGTGTGAGGCGTGAGATGAAGCAGCGCCGGGAGGCAGTCGTGAAGCTCCAGTCCTACTTGCGGGGTTGGCTGGTGCGTAGAGAATATGCAAGGCAGGTCAAGAAAGTGGTTACTATCCAGCGTTGGTGGAGAGCTACAAAACTAAGCAGAGAAGAGCGCCTAAGATACATAAGAATGAGAAATGCAGCTATTGTCATTCAGTCATATGCCAGAAGGATGCAAGTCTCCCAAGAACTGAAGAAGCAGAATAATGCAGCCTTAAGAATTCAGGCTTGCTTCCGCCGTTGGTGTGTCCAGAGAGACTATCGACGCAAGATGGAAGCTGTTGTCAAGCTGCAGAGGTATTGGAGAGGTGCATACCAGACGTTGCGAGCACAGGAACGATACATCTATATGAAACGTGCGGCTGTCATTATTCAAGCAGCGTGGAGAGGAAGACAAGCCCGCCAGGTGCTTAAACGGTCCAAGGCTGCTTGTGTTTTGCAGGTATGTATTTCACTGTTATATGATTCTTCGTGTGTGTGTGTGTGTGTGTGTGTGTGTGTGTGTGTGTGTGTGTGTGTGTGTGTGTGTGTGTGTGTGTGTGTGTGTGTGTGTGTGTGTGTGTGTGTGTGTGTGTACATGTACATGTACATGTACATGTACATGTACATGTACATGTACATGTACATGTACATGTACATGTACATGTACATGTACATGTACATGTACATATATATATATATATAATTTTTTTTTTTTTTTTTATAAACAGAAATTATGTAGATAATATCATGCTTTTTTGTATTGGAAAATAAACAGAGATTAGGCATTACAGTTGATAATCTCTTGCATTTCTTCACAATCTGGTAAGATCATTTGCTGCCAAAGACTCCAGTATTTAATGTGCATTTCCTTAGGCTTACGTTCGTGGATGGTTTGCTCGCCGTTATGTGAAGGAAGAAAGACGAAGAATTCACCTGACACGTGTGACTAAGGTGACAAAAGTTCACATGGCTGCTATTACCATCCAGGTAAAATTTTCTTCTTGTAAAGTCTTGAAGAGTGAAAGGGTTTGAGTGCAAGATAATGCTTGTTAACTTTGTCATTCTAAAACTTTGCATAGAATGTGTGTTATAGAAAAAACTTGGGCTTTCTAGATGGCTAATCTTGGTAACTAACTAACCCTGTTCTGCTTTGTATTCATGGCACAAGAAGGTCCAATGCATAATGTAATTGGCATTGATTTCAGTTTTGGAGGTCCTATTTGAGTGAATTGTAGCTAGGGGAAAAAAAAAACAACGAATAATCCATATAATGTTATTGGGTCTTGTATTATGTACTAATTACTGACACTAAACAGTGGAAGATTTGCTTCTTAACCCATTCGGCCCGGATTTATGTTCTGTCCCCTGTAATTTTTGGTGAATTTTGTTACATACAGATGGCTCCAAGTGTGCTCAGCCGGCAAGGAGTCTATCAGTTGGCCTTAGTTACAGATCCTGATTTTGATTAAGAGCTTGTAGAGCCATCTATGTGTAAATACAGTAAATAAACATGTATTACAGTGGGCACGACATGTATTCTTGCCATATGGGGCGAATGGATTAATAAAAAAAATAATAATACGGGATTTAATCTTAACATAAAAATGTCTATCTTACAATAATAACACAAGTGCTTTTCTAACAACAAAACAGCGATCTTTCCGTCGTCATCAAGCCATGGTGCGTGCTAAGCAGACCATAGAATCAGTGGTAAAGCTGCAGCAATGGGTGCGAGCAGTATTACAGAGGAGGCGCTACCTGAGGCAACGCGAGGGGGCGGTTGTCATCCAGAGAGCCTGGCGTAGGAAATTAGAGAAGATCAAGAAGGTGCTTTGTTGTCTTTTTAAAAGAGTTGTACTTTTGGTGTTCTCAGGGACATATGATGCTGTATTTGCTTGATTTTGTTGTGTTACAGATGGATAGGTAAAAAGAGATATAGGTACTATATAAGTATCTGTATATGTACATGTATTTTATGTGTATATATAAGGGATTCCTGAAAACCAGATAAATATATATATATATTTATATTTTTGAAGAACAGACCATTAATGATAATATTTTTTAGGAGCGTCGTATAAAGGCTGCAACAGTTTTACAAGCAGCTTGGCGAGGACGCGTTGCCCGACGTACTTTGAAAAACAAGAAGTTGAACGATGTCCGCCAGAGGTTGGAAGCGGCTACACGGGAGGCCACAGACGCCAAGCGCATTGGCAATAGGACTGTTTGTGCCATATCCTACCTGATAAAGTACAAAGACCTTAAGAGGATTTTGATAGCTGTCATGTACTTAGGTAAGTCAGCTGTAAAAGGATTTTGTTGCCTGAATATCAATTAGAATTTATTTATTATTGTTATTATTATTATTATTATTATTATTATTATTATTATATGTTTTTTATATACATTTTTGAAGAAAATGTTTCCTTTAAGTATCTTTAATGAAGAGAGAGACTAAGGAACTAATTTAATGCGTATTTCAGACACAAGTACACGCTGGTCTCCACCTTGCTGTGAGAAGCTGTCTGAGGGAGTAGCCCTTGACACAATCATGTTTTTGCTGAGGGCTTGCAACAGGTCTATCCCTCACATGCAGATCCAGAGTTATGTTTTGAATATCCTTATTAACCTGGCAAGGTACCCATACACTGCACCATCACTGCACAGGGTAAGTAGTTGCTTTTAGAACTGATGGTTTAAATTACTCATTTAGCTTTAAATCACCATTTTATTCATGTCATCTTATCTTGCACAGAACTAATACCTGATGTATGTGTATTTGTAAGCTTAATTACTGAATGGCTTTTGGTATTCTGTCAGCGACCAGATAACAGGAAACAACTTTCTCTTTTTTTCTAGTTGGAGGGCCTAGTTGAATCGCTTATTCAGCTTATGACCATATACTACGAGAAAGGCCCAGCTATTTTTACCAAGTGTTGTACTCTGCTCTACATCTTGACAACAACAAACCCACCCCAGAAAGTAAGGACTATGGCAAACATAATATAAGCTAAGGATCATATAATAATTTAGCATTAATGTGTAATTGAAATACAGTGTGAATTGAAAGTATTTTATCTCTTACTCAAATGTAGTTTTTCACAATGAAAATATATGTTCTTCAGGAAATGGGCACATCCAAAGTCAAGGACGAATTAACCAGCCTGAAAAACTTGATGATCCGGCGCGAGAATGCAAGCCTACGTGGCCAGCGTCCAGCCAAGCGAAGTCCACTCCCTGCATCCCAGCTTCCAGCGATCACCCCCGAGTGGGCTCTCAAGACCAGCCAGCCGAGAGAGTTTGAGGAGCCTATGCGGGCAATAATTACGCTGCTAGCCAGGCTGTCTCTTATTAAACCTGAGGCGTAGGACTATGCTAGGGACCTCATTCTCTAAGGGATTCTACCCGTCATAGTTTATTTGATTATTTTCTTTGGGATTTTCTTTTTGTGCATTAATGTTAACTGTCTATTGTCTTTTTACGCATTAACATAATTAGTAATGGAAACCATATTTTTTTATATATATATAAGATGAAGTACAAACTGTACTTCTTAGGAATCTACTTTAATGAGCCTAGAAATAACAATATAATTGTTAGAAAACATATTATTAGCTTTGATGTTGCCTTAATTTGCAAAGGATATCTAGGTTTTAAGTATTTTACAATGTAAGATATATAATGTGGGTTTATTTTTACGTATACATAAATATGTATCAATATATATTAGTAAATATATATATTGCTATGGGCAAATTGACCATTCTATGTGCTTGAAAATATTATGAATGTAGAAATATTATTTCAGAGATTACTGCCAAGCTCCTGACTTGGCATTATAGATGAAATAGCTTTAAACATACAAAGTTGCCTGTTAGCAGCTGGACCCACATACCACATTGCTACAATGCACTGCCGTCATATAACTAAGGTTACTCATTCTACTGCAGATTCATTTATTAGTCTAAAAATTATCCCTATCATCCGGCTAACTTACAGCCTTTTGTATATATTTTGCGCCTAGTTTAATTGTCATATAAACTCCATTAATCACCACATCACATTTCTTCATTATTTACTGTCAATGTAATAAGTTTGTGTGCCTCTTGAGATGACTTACTCTTCTACTGACTGTACTTAGGATAGAAGATTGAAATATTTTTTTTCAAAGTTTTGTAAATAAACCAGTTTACATGTACACATTTGTATGCATTTTATCCTATAAAAGTTAAGGAACAAGCTGTTGCAGATAATATTTTTTTCTCAATATATTTTACATGGGAAAGGAAAAAATGTGAATGGCTTGCTCTACAAAACAAGCTATAGTCAATGCATTTCCATTAAAACTTCTGAATTCTGATGGATATTTAATCAAAATATAACATTACATCTCTGGCTTTGTAAAGTTATTCATTTTAACATCCCCACCAATTATATACCCTTGTTGTAGAGGGGTGTAGCAGACGGTTCTACCTTATCCTCAGCTAAATCAATTTTGCATAGTCTTTTCTTCTCCCACTTTCCTTTTTCTTCTCTCCTCCAACCTCATCTCTCCACTTCCTAAGATGTGAGAGCAGTTTTTAAAGCATAAAGGCTCGTTTTAGGTCAGTAGTGAATGACCTTAAGGAGCCACAGGCATTCCCTTTAGATACTTACCCTTTACCCCTCAAGGGGACCTCCCCCCCAATCCCTTGTCCGTTGTTGTCGTGGGGGGGCTTAGGAGGCGGAGACTGGGACCCAATGATGGGGAACTCCCCAACCTTGGGACTCAGCCCTCGACTCAACTAATTTTGCATGGTCTTTTTTCCCTTCCTACTTTTTCGTTTCTGTCCCTTCACCAAACCCTTCTGCTATCCACCTCCTAAGGTGTGAGAGCCGTGCTGAAAAGATGAAAGGCTGACTTTGTGCCAGTCCTGAACGGCCTGAGGGTGCCATGGGCACGGTATTCCCCTGATTTACCCAGCCCTTACCCCTCAAGGGGACCCTGAGGGGTGGACTGTTTTTATCCCCAACATAATCCAGGTTTACCATGGCCAATCATGAAGACGTAACTCTATTAGGGGCAATGAGGCTAGCTCCTTTATCAAATAGCCCTCCCGATTCCCTGACCCCAAGCTCTCATTTGACCACGGCTCCGAACACTGCAACAACTACCCCCTCATCAATGCCTACTAATACAGTAGTCAACAATCAACCCCCAAGAGACATTTCCACTCTCCCAACATGCTCAACTTCAACATCTCTACCTCCACAACCTTCAACATCAACTACCCCATCCTCCCATATTAATACCTTACAGCCTTATTGCCCACCTCTCCATAACACTACCTCCCTCAACACTACTCCCTCTTCGTCACGCCCCCGCCCTTCTACTACCCCTATCTCTACAACAATCTTAAATACTCTATTTAGCGCAGCCAAATGGGACCGATTTTTCGTGATCCCTCCCACAGCTCCCTACTCTGACAACACCCTTCTCTTCCAACAATGTCTCCAAAAACAAGTAGGCAAAGTCTCTTTCCGTAGCCGACCCGACTGCTCCCGTCTCGTCACAGTAACCTCTGAATCCCAAGCTATAGCATTAACAAAACTAACTGATCTATATGGTAACCCCATTCTTGCAGAACCTCATTCAACCCTCAATACTTGCACCGGAACAGTCTCAATCTCCCCCAGCAAATTGCCCAATCTATGACAAAGGTTGGTCAGATTGTGGAGAAGACATACTCGCCTGTCTTACAGACTATGATGCGACATCAGTACAATGCTACTCCATTCCCCCTAGAGGTCATCGAAAGAAACCCACTAACATAGCCAAAATTACCTTCCGTAGACTTGACTTTCCCTTTAACGTTTACATAGGTGGAGAATCCCTCCCTGTCCGTCCAAACCAACCTCCTCCACGTCAGTGCCAAAATTGTTGGCGTCTAGGACACCCAGCTAAACATTGCCGTTCCACAGCCAGATGCCCACTATGTGCCCAACCTGGCCATACTCGATCAAACTGCTCTGCACAATTACCTCACATTAACCATTAACCATCCCCTCTATCCCCCCCAATCCCTTGCCCGTTGTTGTCGTGGGGGGGCTTAGGAGGCGGAGACTGGGACCCAATGATGGGGAACTCCCCAACCTTGGGACTCAGCCCTCGACTCAACTAATTATGCATGGTCTTTTTTTTTTCCCTTCCCACTTTTGTTTCTGTCCCTTCACCAAACCCTTCTGCTATCCACCTCCTAAGGTGTGAGAGCCGTGCTGAAAGGATGAAAGGCTGACTTTGTGCCAGTCCTGAACGGCCTGAGGGAGCCATGGGCACGGTATTCCCCTGATTTAGTTATCTAGCCCTTACCCCTCAAGGGGACCCTGAGGGGTGGACTGTTTTTATCCCCAACATAATCCAGGCTTCCCATGGCCAGTAATGAAAATCTATCTCCACTATTAGGGGCAATGAGGCTTGCCCCTTTATCAAATAGCCCCAACGAAGTAAACCCACCTGATTCCCCGACCCCAGGCTCTCCTTTGACCACGGCTACAGTAGCCAATAATCAACCTTCAAGGAACATTTCCACTCTCCCAGCATACCCAACTTCAACACCTCTACCCCCACAACCCCCAACATCAACCACCCCATCCTCCCTTATTAATACCTTACAGCCTTATAGCCCACCTCTCCATAACACTACCTCTATCAACACTACTCCATCTTCGTCACGCCCTCGCCCTTCTACCACCCCTATCTCTAAAACAATCTTGAATACTCTCTTCAGTGCAGCCAAATGGGACCGATTTTTCGTGATCCCTCCCACAGCTCCCTACTCTGACAACACCCTTCTCTTCCAACAATGCCTCCAAAAACAAGTAGGTAAAGTCTCTTTCCGTAGCCGACCCGACCGCTCCCGTCTTGTAACAGTAACATCCGAAAACCAAGCCATAGCACTAACAAAACTAACTGACCAATATGGTAACCCCATCCTAGCAGAACCCCATCCAACCCTTAATACTTGCACCGGAACAGTCTCAATCTCACCAGCAAATTGCCCAATCTATGACAAAGATTGGTCAGATTGTGGAGAAGATCTACTTGCCTGTCTCACAGACTACGATGCAACATCAGTACAATGCTACTCAATCCCCCCCAGAGGTCATCGAAAGAAACCCACTAACATAGCCAAAATTACCTTCCGCAGACATGACCTTCCCTTTAACGTCTACATAGGAGGAGAATCCCTCCCTGTTCGTCCATACCAACCTCCTCCACGTCAGTGCCAAAATTGTTGGCGTCTAGGACACCCAGCCAAACACTGCCGTTCCACAGCCAGATGCCCATTATGTGCCCAACCTGGCCATACCCGATCTAACTGCTCTGCACAATCACGCACATGTGCCAACTGTGGCGGCCCCCATAATGTATTTTATAGGGGCTGTCCCACCTACAAATTTGAATCTGAGGTAGCAACTCTCAAATTCAAACTTGGACTCACACTGCGTGAAGCCAGACAGGAAGCACGTCGACGTGGATTCTCTCTTACTCCTTACTCCAGTAATACTGCTCATTCTAACACTTCTCCTAAACCCACCCCTCCTACATCTAACCCCCCCACTTCTACCTCCTACCTTCCCCAGTCTAACTCTTTTGCCATCCTAAATCCAGAAACTCCAATCTCTAATACAGATACTCCAATCACCACTACAACCCCAACACCTTCCCCTCTCCCTCCTCGCACTCCCCGTAACAGACAGAACAAACGTTCCACCCCCTCTTCCCCTACCACACAATCACCTCCACCATCCTTTGCCCCTACTCTTGAAACACCAGTCCTCTCTTCCCCCCCTCACAAGAAATCCTTTATCCCCCACAACTCCCCAACCAACTCCTCAGAAGAAACTATTGAAAATATTCAAGATTACTTAATGCAAACTGACACTCAACCTACAACCCCTGCTCCTTCCACACTCCAAGTAACTGCTGATATCCATCCCCCTCCTAACGATATCCCCCCTACACCCTATCCTCCTACCCCCTCCCAACACAGCCCATCCCCCCCGACCCCGACCCCAACCCAGCCCACATTAACCCTCCCACCATCCCCTCTATCCCTTCCACTCCCTCCTGGATACACACGTGAATCCCTTATGTCACAAGTATCCCCTTCCTCAGACCCTCCATCTCCTAATACCCCTCCTGATAGAACACCAACTCCCACATCTCTCCCATCTCAAACCTCTCAGTCCTTATCCCACCCTCTAGCTGATTCCCCCTCAAAGTCTCCAACACGTACTGCAATCTATATCACTAAATCAACGAAAGTATAACTATCCTTCATTGGAATATTCGCGGTTTCCGCTCCCACAGACCTGACCTTCGTCATATCCTTTCCTCTTATAACCCATCTATTGTATGCCTTCAAGAAACCTTTCTTACACATCCTCCAATACCAATCCCCAATTATCATTTTGTCTCTTCCCCACATTCCCTTTATGTCTCGTCTATACTTATCAATCAGAAAACACCTTATGTCACACCACCCTTTCAAACCAATGTCCCTTGTACAGTTATTCGTATCTTCCTTCATCGTTGGATCACAGTGATTTCAGTCTACTTCTCCCCTTCCCACCCCATTGACTTTGTTGCTTTTGAAAATCTAATTTCCCAACTTCAACCACCTTTCCTCATAGTAGGCGACTTTAACTGCCGCCACACTCTTTGGGGGGATTCTATTACCAACTCCCGAGGCCGATCTCTAGAGCGCTTCCTCTCCACAGCTGACCTTACTATTCTAAATTCAGATCGCCCCACACACTTTGATACACGCACGCAATCTTTTTCATGCATTGACCTCTCTCTATGCTCCCCTTCTCTTCATATAGATTTCCACTGGTCAGTCTTAGACCACTTTCCCTATAGTGACCACTTTCCAGTTCTCCTTTCTCCTACTTCATACGTACCACTTCCTAACTCCCCACGCTGGTGCTTTGAGAGAGCCGACTGGCATACTTTCACTTCACTCTCTGCTATTCATACCCCTCCATCCTCCCTCACCTCCATTTCAGAAATGATACAATGTTTCACAACTACAGTCTTAAGAGCTGCACATACAGCTATCCCTCGAACCTCAAGACCATATACCTCTAAATGTGTTCCATGGTGGAATTCTGATTGCACTAAAGCACTTCGCTTAAAACGTGCAGCCTGGAACA